CGAGCGCGAAGTCGCTCTCCTATAGCTGCATGGCGTCTCGACGTTTTTTTTTTTTTGGGGGGGGGGGGGGGGGACATCGAACGTAACCAATCGATCGATCACAATCAATCAAATTTAGGCTTACGCAGTGCAGAGCTCGTGATTCGTTGTATGCGATCGTCGTCCGAAACGCAGGCATTTTCAAGACGTGGGGGGGGATGAGCCATCGGTTGTGAAACAATGGCCCCCCCTCTTTGCGAAGGCGCTGCTTGGGAAAAACAGCTAATTGGGAAACGCTGCTCGTGATTTGGAAAGGTGCCACTCCGGGGTTCGTGAACCTGCGATTGCGAGCGTGCTCCAACTCCGTCGTTGCCTCAAGCGGTGAACCAACCGGGAGAGCAACTCTCCTCGACGGGTCGAGTGGATGTATCTATCTAATATAGTGGCTGTGTCTCGTGACGTTTACTATTTTTGCAAGGAGTTAGCGGCAGCTCGTACCTATGAAGTTAACCCTCTCAGTCGTGAAATCTGTTTTGCTCGGGTAATTTCTTGTCCGTGTTTTCATATGGGTATAACCTACAGAAGTTATGCATTTTGTGTTAATAACAATTAGGACCGACTCGCCCAGCAACAAGTTCTTCCAACTCACGGACTGAAAATACAGCCAGTGGGGCCAGTATATGAGGGTTGACAAACATGGTATCGAATTAGGTCAGCAAGGCTCGGTGGTTTTGAAATAAGAAAAATAAAAAATATCTCCTTTACTCTTGAACCAACTTCTTATTCGGCAGTGTGCAAGTCCTTGAAACCAGAGGCATAGGCAAAAACTTTTTTCGGGGCTGCATCTCTTTGGTCTGTAAGGGAGCCCAGCCAGGCAGATTGGGTGGAGTGTCATTGTGTGCTCTGTATGCACTGGTGAACAAAAAAAAGTTTTGGGGGAGGTGGGGGGGGGGCACAGGTCTGGTGTAGTGGCGTAGCCAGGGGTGGCAGGTAGTGCCACACTAGGCTCGTGCCTCTCCCCCCCCCACCCTCGCCCGAAAATTTTTTCACCGTGGCATACAGAGCAAAAAATTATCCAAAAGGACTTGTTTTTGGGCTAGTTGGTGCATACTTCGTGCAGAAGACTGAGGCGCAAAAAACATAACGTGGAGCTGGAAGAGCAGGAGAGAAGACAGAGAGCTCTTGGAAGCCTATTACATCAAAAAGAAATGGCCCCATTGTATCAGTGATACATCTATTGTGTTGTACGCAACAGAAATGCATTTCGGATAACTTAGTGCCTTGTTCATGACGCTGTGCGATGTTTATTGGTTGTGCACGCATGCGCGGTTTTGTCTACTTTCCAGTGCGTTTCCTAGACGGTCATTAAACAGTTGGTAGTTGGCGCTGTTCTGTCTTCTCTCCTGCTCTTCCAGCTTCACGTTATGTTTTTTGCGCCTCAGTCTTCTGCCCCAAAGAAGAAAAAAATGATAATTTCAAGCCCCCCCCCCCCCCCCCCCCCCCCGAAAAAACTTTCTGCCTACGCCCTTGGCCCGGTGTGTCACCCCCTGCTACGCCACTGCCTGATAAAACTTCGGGTCTTCGGCCAAAAACGGCGCATGCATACCCGCCTCAGCTTACACACCCCGACATCACCCGTGACTTTGGTCGGGCGTCTTCTTCATTGTGGCTTCATGCTCCGCGAAAATGCCACAATGGTTAGAGTAGACCGCACTGAGGACAATTGAAGAAGTATTCCCTCAAGAATCAGCAGTTTCGGGTTTTGTTTCCGGGATGCTAGGGGAAATGTGTTGTGTGGTTGTGTCGATCGAGACCATCCGGTTTGAAAGAGTTGAGCGACGACGAAGGCGTGGTCGTCCGATGACGTCGTCACGCGTCACGATGGCGCAGCGATGACGTCATCGTTCTACCACGTCGTTTGCGGGAGGCACTGCAGAACGCCGCGAGACTGCAGAAAGCCTCCAATTAGGTGCCGGAAGCCGGTGCGAAACTACGTCTGCTGCGCAAAGATTATGACGACGTCACAAACGTCTGCGACCCTTCGACGTCATGATGACGTCTCGTGGTGATTTTTCGGGTCAATCGGGTTGACGCCGTCGCCCGCCGGTCGTTCACTTTTTCGCGTTTGATGAGCCATATAATTAAGACTACACTCTAAAAAAAGAGAAGTAAAAAGGGTGTATTTTTGTCCGACAACAACAATCGTCATCTATGTTGCGTTCCATCATTGCGCTATCGCCCCGCACCCGGTACATTCCGGTCACGATCGACATGCCCGTTATCAGGGTTACATTGCATTCTCGCTAGGAAAGTGTCCAGCGCCGAGTTTTCAAGGAAGCGCACGCAAGCCCGATGGCGATTATTGTTGAGGGACCAAAGGACACCCTTTTACTCGATATTTTTTAGAGTGTACCGGCACTGAAATCATTCTGACCGAGCAAACGTGCTTCTTGTGCTCTGGCAAGCGCCACAAATGTGAGAAGTGGAGAGGGAGCGGGAGAAGTTGAAGTGCCCTGCCGACCATTCGTCGTCACTTGGGACCCCCCCACCTGCAAGCATATATCTGCTCGTATGTCAGATGGCGTAAAGGCATGCCTGCAAATGTCTCCACACGTGCGCAACTTGTTTGTCACGCTTGTAAGCTCGGAACACCGGCGGAGTAATGTTAACTCGTTGAATCATGCTGTCGGCTTGGCGTTTTCAGCTTCCGCCGGTCCCAATAGCTTGGGTGAACTGCGGTCGTGAAATTGGTGCGTCCATACACAGCGGAATTTGGTAAAAATTTGAACCTCGCGGCCGAGCATGCTGGTGGCATTCGCCTTTGCCTTGTTATTGGCAAACATAAAAACGAACAAAAAGGGAGACGTTTTCGTTCGAAGTTTTCTTTTTTGCGACCGTAGGTTTGATGAACGGTGGCGGGAATCGGAAGTGTGGAAAGGCGCGAAATGGAAAACACAGCGCGGACACACGACGAAAGAAGCATCCGTCTTCGTGACACCTTTCTTCGATCTGGGTTGGCGCAGGTGCTCTTCTTATATTCTTATTTTTTTTGAACTTGAAGAAGCTCGGCGTTGTCGCCACGGGTTGGCTGGTATAGAGGAGGGGGGCCCCAACCACCCCCTCCCTACATTGAAAGAATTGCATGTGTTCAGGCGCTAATACAAACGCAAGCACGAACGTAAGCAAGTACGTAATGGAGAAATGACATCACCCCCCTCCCTCTCCAAGGAAAAAGAAAACGCCTGGCTATGCCCCGGGAGTGATGTTCGAAGATTATGTGTTACATGCGTTTTGCAATGCATGGATGAATGGCGTGGGCAGGGCATTTGCTCCTAGGGAATCCCAATTATATTTTTACAGGAACATATTGACAGGCTTGCATTGCTAGTCTCAGCTAGAAAAAACACTACTTACTCACCTCTCTATCTCACCATCGTCATCCATTAATCTTTCTTTTCCCCTTTCCCTCCCCGCAGTGTGGAGTAGCAGGCTAGAGCAAGCTATCGCTCAGGCCGACCTCTCTGCCTTTCTGTAAATAAACTTATCTCTCTCTATATAGTTTTTCTCTATTTGCTGCGCGTGCGGCATCTTCTGTGCTGCGCTGTCGGTTTTGGCTGTCAATGTTTTGGGCGGAAGAAACTATCCGCTCATGAGATATGTACTTTATGAGACTTTCTTTTTATTATTTGTGCCCATATCATCGTAGCCTCGTCACCTCGTCGTTTTACATACCGATGGATAGCTTCCAAGTACTTGTTTTCAATTGCCTCAGAACGCAACACACTATATACAAGGTCAAGTCCAAGAGTTGATGTCGCCCCCTGCATAAAATCATCCTCGTTGTTTTTTTTCTATGTGTTTCGAGCTCTGCAGCTCCTTGACGTCACCTGGTGAACATGGCGCCTTCTGGGTCACGTGATTCGGCCCCCCCAAGGCCGCCCAGTATGTTACGCTGTGACGTGCCTGCCTTTTCTGACGATGTATTTCTTTTTTTCCTGCATCCTTCAAGCGGGTCTTGCTCTACCCCCTCCCCACTCTCGTGTGAGCGGCAAGGCTCTCGGTTTCTCCGTGTTTTTTCGTTTTCCGTCTTCCCTGGCAGCAGCGCCAGGGAAGACGCTGAGCGCAAGACAACTTGCGCTCTACGCTGCCGCCTCTTCGCGGCCTTCTCTTCTAGTCTATGCGAATATGGGGCGAATAAAACGTCGCTCATTTCATCCAGTTGCTCGCCCGCGTGCGCTTTTGAAGGCGCCGTGTCTCTATGCTCAAGGAGCTTGTAGCTGGCTATGGAGAAAAGAAGAAAAAAAGAACGAGACGCCTCGCTTCTGCCCACGGACCTAGTCCTACCGCTATTGTCTGGCGTTGTCTGCTTATTTCTTGACTTCTGCTTCTTCTTTCTAAGACTTCTGCTTCTTCTCTCTAGCCTTCCGCCTCTTCCCAGCTGATCGGCCGGCCTGTTCCGTCACGGATGGGCCGCCGTTCTGCGGTGCAGCGGCCGCTGAGATTGAGATCGCCTCCTCTCGCCAACGCCGAGGGAAAGGGAAACTGGAGGCGCAGCTTTTTTGCATATCTTTCCTCGCTGCTTTGCTTTTCCCCGCTTCTTTGCGGCTTGTGTGTTTGAATCTTACGGGGTGGGGGGAAGCCAAGCGGTCGTCGTCGTCGTCTTCGCCTATGCGAGAGGAATACGGGCCCCCTCGGCGTGGCGCCTTTGGGCCGTTGCTTCACACGCGTACGCCCGCCAGCCGCCGCCGTCGTCTGCTACGAAGCTGAACTACGCCCGTTCGTCTGCTTGCGGTCACTTCGTTTCGCGACTGGCTACGTGACTGTCGCGTGCTATTCAAAAACGCGCCTGTTTTGCTAGCCGAATGCACTTCCGGCCTTAACAACATCGCCTGTCGTCTGCTACACCGTGGCCGTCGATGTCCTGCTCGATGTGACTGTCGTCTGCTATTGGAAAAAAAACAAAAAAACACGCCTGTTGCGTAGTAAAGCGTACTTTTGGCCACAGCAGCGCATCGTCCGTCGTCTGCTACACCGCAGCGCGTTCTCGGAGTTTCAACTCGAGCCTGCCTGCTACCGTGCAACCGTTTTCACATCTGGCGACGATCGACAACGGCGCGATCGCCAATCGTTCCAGTTCGTGAATACACTCCCGAGAACGGTCCTCGAAGGGAGGACAGGTTTCGTCCTTTTTTTTATCCGGCGAAGAGGGGCAAGCCTCTGCGCGACCGACGTGCATCTGATCCCCGTCCGGAATCGGCCGGTTTTTTTTTTTTCATGCCGCGCGCGCGCGCGCGTGTGTGGAGTCGCCCATCTAGCCTCATTCTCATCGGCAGTCACCCAACGACGCAGCGAGCTGCTGCTCACCCTCGCTCGCTAGCAGTTGCCGTCGCCGCAGCGGCTTTTCCCGTGGCCTCCGAAGCCGTGCGTCGCCTCCTACGTGCGGCTCAACAACCGCCGTCAGTTTAGTGCGTGTGTTGCCCCATCCGAAGAAGACGGCGACTTCGGTAACGATGACTACTGCTACTACGACTGCGAAGGTCAGCGTCGTCGGTGACGCGCGGTGATACGGCTCAACGACTTCGCGGTGGTCGGGGCCGGCGCTGCGTTTTGACCGCGGAAGCCAGGACACCGCCTCCCGCGGCCGCTGCGCTACGCGCCATCGAAAGTTCGTCGTCGTCTGCTTCTGCGTGCGGTAGCAGACGGACGGTGTTTTTTGCTAAGCCTAACGCAATCCGTTCGCTTACTTCTTTGGGCCCCCTCGACGGGCGAACGGGTTGTGTTGCACGCTTCGACTTTTCAGTGGTGTAATACATCTAGTGGCTTCGGTGTTGACGCGCGCGCGTGTGTGTGACTGTGTGTTGTTTTGTCACCGTATGTGTGGTGTGTATGTGTGTGTGTTGACATCGTCTGGCCGTCGTTTTACTCGATACATCTGTGTGTGACAGCACTTGAGTGTCATAAGGAGTGCAACGGTTGAATCTCTACATAGCCGGGGGCCGTACAAGGTGGACACACCAGCGGCGTTCACGTTGAAGTCGGCTTCCGACAGGAACTGTAGGTAGTGAGAAGAAAGGAGAGTGATTGATCGTCGACTATGGGACAGCCTCAGAGCCGGGCGACGCCCGCCGGTATGGGCTACACAAACCAGGGCGGATCACCGGAACTGAGGCCGCGTCGGCATTCCACGCGACTGTCGGCGCGTCGCGCCCGCGTCGGTGAGTCTGTTGTCTGCATGCGAAACGACGAGCTCGGGCTGACGTCATCCTTTATACTCTGTAGCAACATTTGAGAACGAAAACACAAAAAAAATCGCTTCGAGCTCCGCCCCACAAAATCGCAGCGCACCTGTCCGTCATATTTGTGAGAGTCAGGTCTGGCGGTGCTTACTGGGAAACTTGCGTTTTTTTTTTTTTAATCTGATAATGTGAATGCTATAGGCTTATCAAGACGCAGAGTTGTTTGTTTTTGTGTTAAGTTTGTTTTTTACTGTGTAACAAATGTACCGGGATTGAACGATAAATTTTTCATGAGGCTTAAACGCACGAAAAAAAACTTTGTCTTTCCGTGCGTTGTAAGCCCGATGATGTCATGCCAACAAGCCCCGAAGGCAACGTTTCTGCGTATATTTTAGATTTAACGCGACGTTCAGAATTTCTACCTAAAACGCAGCGACCGCGAAAGGCAGTATGTCTGTAAAATGATTGATTGATTGATTGATTTGTGGGGTTTAACGTCCCAAAACCACCATTTGATTATGAGAGACGCCGTAGTGGAGGGCTCCGGAAGTTTTGACCACCTGGGGTTCTTTAACGTGGTCTGTAAAATGAGCGGCTGAGGGTGTCTTGTATCTTTATGGAATAACGAACGATATTAATTCCTCAAATGTGTTTCCGACGTTACGAGAATACGAACGAACGTCGTTAATCACGATTTTCGGAGGCTTACGGGCCAAAACCACGATGTGATTGCCGTATTTACTCGACTATACCTCGAGGGTCGCCTTTAAGTGTACATAAACGAAAAAAAGAAAAAAAAAGAACTCGCGTTACGTTCGAGTAAATACGGTGTGAGGCACGCTGTAGTGTATAGGGCTGCGAAAATTTTGACCACTTGGTGTTCTGACGTCGTTGCATAGCATCTGTAGCATTGCGCCCACATCGAAACGTGACAGTCGTTGCCGGCATCGAAACCGTGGATTTCGGGTCAGCAGCCCGAAACGGCACTGAGCGAACGTGACTGACAGTGATCTCCTGACGTAGCAGTATACGTAGCAGTATATCCATGACGTATACGTAGCAGTATACGTAGCAGTATAGTATACGTAGCAGTATATCCATGAGTATACGTAGCAGTATCCATGACGTGGCAGTATATATTATTTCGTTTAGATTAACGCCGCATTCCATGGCTTATGCAAATCTGATATCATGGTTGAAACTAAGAAGAGGAAACGGACATGGGCCGGGCATGTAGCGCGTAGACAGGATAACCGCTGGTCATTAAGGGTAACTGAATGGATTCCCAGAGAAGGGAAGCGGGTTAGGGGGAGACAGAAGGTTAGGTGGGCAAATGAGAATAAGAAGTTTGCGGGTATCAATTGGCAGCAGCAAGCACAGGACCGGGTTATAACTGGCGGAACATGGGAGGGGCCTTTGTCCTGCAGTGGACGTAATCAGGCTGATGACGATGATGATGATCATGATTATGATGATGATGATGATGATTATGATGATGCAAATCTAAGCATATCCCACCTATAGACGCTATAGCACTTTTCGTAGGGAACCATATGTGGAGTGGCTGACACTTAGCTTTGTCCAGTGTCGCGTTCATGAGTTCGAGAACCAACTGAATTCAGTGGGCTGTCTTTTGCAACAGTATGGAGGATTCTTCGAGAAAAACTCGTTTCCTCTCGTCTGCGCGCACGCTTGGCGGTGTACAGGTGTACGTTACACCGTCAGACCTCTCGCACAGGTGCGTCATGCGACGGATTGCTTAACGCCTCGCACAAAGGGGAAACGTTTCGAAATGTGTAGCGCCAGGTTCCGCAGAGGGTTTTTTTTTTTTTTTTGCAACGTGCCGACCTTTTTAAGACGAGTCGCGAATTACACGTTAATTCGCGAATTCTATGTTGTTACAAACAAAAGCCTACGTGGCATCTTTACCGAGTGTGTCGTTTTTTTTTTTTTTGCATTCATTTTACCGTATACCACCAGTCATCGAGACATTGCAGATGGGAGTGGGTTGCAATGCATAAACAGAAAGTGAGACGTGCAATGTTATGCAGGAATAGCGGCAGGAAATTACGAATATTTGCGCATGTTGACACAAGACATGAACAGAAACTGGCAGTAGTAAATATAAATAAAACGTTACATGTTATGCAATATCATAGCGAAACTAAATATGAGGAAGAAATGTTACAGAACAAACCCAGAAAAAAATGAAAGAAATACACATTTCGTGCAATATTAGCGCTAATACTTGAACGTAAATGCATATTGCAATAGGGCAGAGGAAACGAGCATGCTTAAGTGCTGAAAGCATGCGTTTTTTTTTTTTGTGTGTGCTGATACTATCGGGTAGTTAGGCGAGGTGTTGAAATGAAGATATTCACAGAAATGAAATGAAGTCGAATCGCACAAAACGCTGTAAACTAGATACCAGTGGGGGAGGCTTCGGTCCTGTAGTGAACCTCCAACAGGCTGCTGCTGCTGCTGATGATGATGATGATGAAGATGATGGTGATGAAGTACGCAGCTTCTTTCTACCTCTCTCTCTTCGACACTTTTCGACTGCAGCTTGATCGTTTTGTGGTTCACTGCGATTGATCGTACGGCAATGTAAGCTTTGGCGAAAAGCCGCCCAGTGTATATATAGGCATTGTTCATGGTACATACTGACCCTAATGCGTCCTTTGTTAGTTCGATGAGACATTTAGTACGCCTTAGCGATTGCGACACTTTTTATGTCGCAGTATCTGACCGTGGTCATGCGCAGCTGCGTCCCGTTAGGCTTTTTTTTTTTCTTTTATGTTGACGCCCCCTTCCAATGCTCCGCTTAGAGGTCATTGACCCACGGAAGTGATGCAAAAGCTTTGACGCACTGAGACTGTTTGCGTTCGTTCGATGAACGATCTTCGATCCGCGCATCTGTGCAAGAGAAACGCGAATATAATGCGAGGGAAGAAACGCGGAGATTGATTTTGAAGTTAATTGAACGTTTTTGAACCACTCGAGCGCGCGTATTATATGCGCACCACAAACATATCAATAACTCGTTCAAACAGTCGACCGAGCTGACCCACAGGTCGCGGGATCGAATCCCGGCTGCGGCGGCTGCATTTCCGACGGAGGCGGAAATGTTGTAGGCCCGTGTGCTCAGATTTGAGTGCACGTTAAAGAACACACAGGTGGTCGAAATTTGCGGAGCCCTCCACTATGGCGTCTCTCATGATCATATGGTGGTTTTGGGACGTTAAACCCCACATATCAATCAATCAATCAAACAGTCGACCGAGAAGATGATTCGCCTTTGAGTCATTTTGTGTTAGTTTTTTTGTTCGTGCTCCAGTGCTTATTAATTTCGTACTGATTAGATTTATAGAGGAGCTGTTATGGTCAGCTTTGTAAATTTCCAGGTCAATGACCTTGTTTCGTCTCTCTCTCTCTCTCTCTCTCTCTCTCTCTCTATCTATCTATCTATTTTTTTCGAGTAAGGTAGCCGAAGATTTGTTTCGAGAACCTCCACTTTACAAATAATTATCCGCCTGATAAAAACAATAAAACGCAGCAATGGTGCAAACAAGCGTTAAAAATGCTACACGTATGTATATATATACAGGTCATTTGTTAATTGTATACAACGTGCGCTTATGTGTATGAAATAGCGCGAATTTATGTCGGTAACGTACGCAGGCTAACGGTAATCATCAAGCCTGCATATGGTGTCCGGCAGAGTCATCTGCATACGACGATATATGTGTGCATATACTTTGGCCGCCGCGTGGTCGTAAAATATAGGTCCGACTCGAATCGCTGTCTCAAACGCGGTAGCGATATAAAGGGTCGCTGGAATTTAACTGTGTGTTATTGAGAAAAGTAAATAACGATAAGTGCTGCTCGGGGATGTCTGGCATTACAACGTAACACCTTATAGCGGGTGTGATCTCCCACGCCAATGGCAGTTCGCAGATTGGCCTTCGGTAATCGCACTGACCCATTGCCTATAGATGTATCTTTCGCCGTGCCCAGTGGCTACGGCGCGTTCTTTGCGTAACCGCAATGACCGAAGCGCAACAACTGGTTTCTTTCGCGATTAAAGACGAAACTCACAGGGTCCCTTAATCATTCGTCTGCGACGACTCGAAGGCGGAAGCCCTCCTCTTCTTCGCAGTCGATGCTCCGCCCTTACTGTCCGAAAGCTTTCTGCAACAATGTCGCAATTTCTCACTGCCTTCAAGATTGAAGGCATGAAAAGCGTTTTGCAATTCACCTGGCTTTGCATGGCCTCCGTGATCGGCCCTAGCGACGATGTCAGGTAATGACGTCATCATGTGACACCCTGATGACGTCACAAATGGCGGTGATCTGTGACGTCGTATGACTGCGTCGTCGTCACGTGGCGCCACCTTTGTCTAAGCGACACTTTCGGGAAGTGACGCCATTACGTGACGTCACGTGACATCGTGGTGACGTCGCATGACGGCGTGATCACATTATCTTTGGCATCACTCACGTTGACGCGCAACGCCGATGGTCAATTTTCGTGTTTGATTAGACACCCAAGGCTTTGACGTTAGTAACCCGGTAGTCCATACGATCATCAGCAGGGTAGCCTGGTTAACGACAGCCTATAGAAATGAGAAAACCCAGTCAAGAAGTAGCCAACTTGTACCAATGTCTGAAGATATAGCCAAATGTAGACATACGTATGTGAGAACAACTGCGGCGCTGTTATTCAAATGACATAATTCAGTATCCTCTTTGGGGTAATTTCAACAACTAAGTACAGCGAAAACCATTCAAAATGATAATTCCGAATCAGATCAAGTATTGTGAAGTTTCTTCGTCACCTTGCGCTCGCAAGACGTTTCTAATTTGGTTAAAATTGAGGCAAGAAGAAACTAGCCAGTAAGTATTCAAGTAGCCAATACTTTGTTGCTGCCGTCACCGGTCTAGTGGCTACGGTACTCGGCTGCTGACTCGCTGGTCGC